CTGTATGTATATAAACACACATACATCAAAAAACACTATATAAACATTACACAAAATGGCCAAATAAGGTATTGACTTATCAACTACAATTTCCTCATCTTAATTCTCCTCTGGTTCTGGGTCAGACTCTGGTTCTGGGTCAAAACTCTGGTTCCAACATGTAAGGCTGGACAGACAAGTCCTCCATTGCTGACATMTTTTAATTAAATAGTAAATAAAACATTTGTGCAAGCTAAAAAAGTAACCCTCTCTCTCAAACTGGAGTGGACCGGTCTGGAAGCAGGAGGGGGGGCGGGGCTTAAAGGAACAGTAACAAAACCAGCTGCTTTGAGACACACTGCAGAAAAGTGGTGAAAGAGGAGCTGGTAAAGTTAAGGTGGAATTCAAACCAAAGTGTTGTAGTTCCACTTGATAAAGACCCAACTGAATGATTTAAATGTGAAAAGGAAGGATTTAAAAGCATCGTGTCGACTTTAAACTAAAGTGCAGCTCCTATGCATGCATTCAAGCATGAAATATGCGCCCATATGTGCACTGTATGTTGGCAATTTTATTACATTTGTGTAAGTGTGCACCACTATGTGGCCCTCTGTGTGAACAGCACTGATGTACAGTAACTRTTAGGGTCTTGTTATGATTAAACAAATGTAAAAAGCCTTAAAACAACATTTTTATCTCTCTTGTCTTTTAGCTTGTTTCAGAGTCAAAATGCSCGATTTGGCTACATGTCTTTATTAAAGGTCACTCAACACACTTTAAAGGTTAAACAGCCTCCTAAACAGCCCGGCTCTCCCCCTGTGGATTTGATGTCGTCTGCAGAGGCTCCACACTCGTACACCATACACCGCTCATTATACACACGCCGTATTACATTTACTCCACGGCATCCAATTTACTGTTCTGCTGGTGCCGCACGCCGCTGTTCCCCAACACACATCATTTCAGCGCGGCGAGAAAAAAAAAAAGGTGCGCGGGATAGCAAACATAAAAGAAATCCGTCCACGTTAAAGGCTCTGCGGTTGGCATTAATGTGTGTTCATCAAGTTTAATTCAGTATAATGAGAACTTTAAGGGGCGCTAATGGTTTTCTGTACAGTGCGTACAGTACAGCTGCCCAGTCTCCTGGAAATGATATCCATAATGCTGTTAATTTGTTCCGAAAGACATTTTAATCTCGGCTTTGATTGTGTTCACCTGGAATGCAGCCGTARTCATAAAAGAAGCATGGTCTGTTTGTTAGAGACAGATTCTGTTTAATTATTTCACCAAACTGTATCTGGAAAGGATTCTGTATTCAAAATATTAGTAATTTAAAGGGGAATATAACCTGAAAAAGAAATAGAGCATGTTAAGGATTATCTATGTGGACCAGGTTTAAACATGTTAAAAACTCCACATTCCTTGAAGAGCTGAAGTAGGTTTTTATTTTTTTATGTGTTTCAAATTGTAGTTTTGAATAAACYCCAGGTCACCTACCAACAGTTTATATAAAACTTCAGTAGCTGCTGTGGTTTTGTTGTCTGAGACTCTGTTCTTTTACCCTAATTCCCTCCCGTCTCGCACACATAATGTATACCTTGCGCACAAACACACACAGCAAATTGTTTTCTCTCTGGAAGGCAGCGTGGCTCTGCGCCAGCTCTCATTATCACCCATATCTGTATACAACCTCCAAGCCCCCCCGCCCCGCCACCCCAGCCCAGTCCTCCCTCACATGCTCCATCACTACCTCCCCACCACCACCACCCACCCACACACACACATCAGCCGCACACGGCTCACTCACATGCCTCTTAAAAGACAGGCGGCAGGGCTGGTAACGTGCCGGCTACATATGTTGTGCGTCTGCTGTCTTTGTCTGAGAAGTTGTTCGTTTGTGGCTGAACACAAGCCTACGTGAGTCTAATAATAAGGAGTGGACCCTCGCACTGGTGAGGTGGGGTGAGGTGGGGTGGGGAGGATTACCGGTGGTACTGGGAGGAAGGAAGGTGGGTTGGTGGGTGGGTGTTTGTGGAATGAGCAACACTGACCTCTAGTGGTCAAAGCAGATCAGGTGACTTTTGAAAYACTGATTATTTTTTGTAAATATAGTCAGAAATAACATTATTCTTCATAACATAATTTAGCGTTTAATATCATGTACTTTACTGTTGTTAAATAAAAAAGGCAAAAAATGGTTTGGGGGAAAAAAAGGGAATTTTTTTACCCCTTTTTATCCTTTAACCTCCTAAACTTGAGGCTATGCTTCTTTAAACCTCCACTTTTTTAAAATGTCGTTTGGTAACAGATCCACRGTGCTAAGGCCAAACTGAAAAACATCTGGTTCTCTAGATAAAATACACCTGGAGAAGTTTGTCTCCTTATCGTCAGGCTGGAGGAAGCGCTGAAAAAAAACCCTATCTTTAGAAACCTGTTCATCAAAGAGGAGCAATAATACAGCACTGATACTGATTGTAAAGAAACGGTTTTATTAGATCTGCAGGCGTAAAAAATCTGTTAAAACAGAAAAAGAACTTTCCTTTTTTTAAAAAAAAAAAAGAAATGTTGGAAAAGTTCCATAGGTTGTGATTTTATAAAGAAGTCAGTGATTGTTAAAGGGAAGGTCAAGCAAGAGCAAACATTAGAAAGAAGCACCACCTGTATCCACCTGCTTTACAGAAAGTCTGGTTTTCTCCTTTCCTCCCATCAAAATTCCCACTTGTTGTTCCAGAGGCCCTCTCCTCCACTCTCCCCTCTGCTAATCTTTGTGAAAATATGTTAATGACGCTCAGAGAATCAACAGGGAAGGGAGGTGTTGCGCACCGCGTCGGCCCGTTCAAAGCCTCCTCGTTCAGCTCGTGCAAAAGCTAACTCCTAAAGAGATGAGTAGACAAGTAGACAGTAATAATTAGCTCACAATTAGCGCTCCCCGGTCTCAGGCTAGCCACCAGCTGTTATCGTCAGAGGTTTTTTTTTTCTTCAGGAGGAGGTGGGGGGGCCTAAAATTGGCCAGAGGTAGGTTGACAGGCCTCCTCACAGGAACAGATGGTGAATGCAAGGCTTGTTGGCAATCAGTACATTTTTAGCTAATGACTTAATTAGCTATGCAAATTGACAAATCAGTGTGGATATTGTCATTTAGTTGAAAAGCTCACCTAAATTAATTAGCCTGATTAAGGCATAGAGAGGTGTAGAAGTGGTCGCTGGGAGGGGCTGAAGATGGCTTGGATACGCAAACAGCTTTTCCATGTTTTGTTTCCAATCAAAGTGTGTGGAATTCCAGTTCTGCACATGCAGGTTATTTGTTTGTTCCCATTTTGAAAAGAAACAAAAATGATCACTGAAATGAASTAAAACTGAAATTACTAAAACTCCTCTAATGAAGATCAGACATTGGTCTTAACAAACTTGAAAACAATGATTTTTTTTTTACAGCAGATGCATTTTTCTGTATTTGTTCTGTTGCTTTATTACAGAAGAGGATTCGGGCCACAGAACAAAAAAATCTCTGTTTTTACTGACTTCTGACTTTATTCTCAGAATTCTGAGAAAGAAGTCAAGATTATTTTTTTTTAATTCTGAGAAAAAAAGTCAAAATTACGAGAAACAAAGTCATATTTCTGAGATTAAAATCAGAATTCTGGCA